GTGTAAACTGTTGTCCCCTTGTGCATTCCTATGGATGACCGTCGCTACAGTGCTCTAGTAGACAAAAGAGTCCCGCGGGCAATGGTATATTGAGGTCTACTACCACTTAACAGATACAGTACATCAGTGCGTGTGATTGAGTGGTTTCCCCCCAACTATATTTGTTTGGGGCGCTGCATGATCAGGTCATTCCGCCGCATGCCGGTAGCTTTCGGACGTTGGCGCCAAGCTGTTCAGTTTTAGAATTCGTGCTTATTTTCTTGCAAGGCAGTTCAGCTCATCTTGCATTGTTGACTCATGGACTGATGCTTATCAGCTCCTCAAGGCGGTTCTGTGCATGTAAGCCCCAAAGGCCTGAGCCCAAAGCCCTAAAACAAGAAGCAAATCCCGAAAATGTCCGAAATCCCCAAGACCGACGCCCCAACCCCTAAAGCGGTAAACCCTACATTCGGTTTCAGCCGGAGGAAAAAGATGTTCCAACAGAAAACTCTCCCCCCCCCCCATGTAAAAGCTCGAACAGCAGGAGGCATGGCTGGGTGTCCTGGGCACCTCAGCGGTGTTGGTGGCGCAACGGCCGGATGCCACCCACTTCCAGACCTTGGCAGGCGCCCCCAGAGCCCTGCCCAAACACTAAGGAATGTAGTAGTAGTCGTCGTCGTCGTCATTTTTGTTAGTAGTAGTACTTAGCAGCAGTAGCAGCAGCAGTAGCAGCAGCATACTACTTATGTTCTTGGTGTTGCTGTTGTTGTTGTGGTGGTGGTAGTGGTTGTTGTTGTTGTTGTGGTGGGGGTTGTTGTTGTCGTTGTTGTTGTTGTTGGTGGTGGTGGTGGTTGTGGTGGTGTCAGGGTCGGGGCAGGCATGTGTCCTCTACAAGTGTGCATGATGATGACCCTCCTTTGCGGTGTTCATCATTATCCTTTGTATAGTATAGTCCTTTATGTTTGTTGTTGATATCCTCATCGCGTTTGTTATGAAACTTGTTGGGATTCATGACAACGTCAGCCAGAGCCTCTAAAAAACGCTCTAAAGCCCTGAAGCGGTCAAAACTTCTACTTCCCCCAAATCTTAAACCGTGAACCCTTGAACTTGTATAAAACGCTTAGGAAACCCGTCAAACTCCGCAGATGACCCTCTGGCACCCTCCCCACGATAGAAGCCTGAATAACTGTATGCCGAGATCAAACACCACCCCAACAGCCTTTTCGAAGACTTAGTCCACCATTTAGGCACTTATCACAGCTCCTCAGTTGCAGTGGTAAGAGTGTGGTACAACTTGGTATTTATGTAACCGTGGTGTCCACACTGCCATCTGGCAACCCTCTAAGCCAAATTCACTCGTGCTTACACCAGCACCAACGCACAGTGCTACTCCAATAGCAAACTAGCAGCCTGGTAGCAATGGGTCCAACATCAAGTGTCCACGTACCAACATCCCACTGCTTTTCTCCGCGCGAGCACAGCACGAAAAGTACTAACAAACACGAGCAGTGTCTTTCTCTTCCAATACGGTTTGAGCCGGTGCCAGTGCAGTCATGTCGTACAGTCTATCGAAGTTGGGCAAGCACAGCTGGTCTTGTCACAGTTGGTGGTTGGTGCAAGCAGGCAGTTGGTGTCTTGCAGTTGGTTGTGCACTTCTTGGTGTGAGCACAGGTTCCTCAGGGTTTCCCTTTCAGGTTCCTTCAGAGAGACCCTAAACCCTAAACCCTAAACCCCTAAACCCCAAACCCCCAAACACTTTATACCCCTGAAACCCTAAACCCTAATCCCTTCTACTCGCCTTGCCTTGCCAAGCGCAGCCAGGCCCGCCGGTCTCCGTCAAAGAACTGAGGAGTTACTTCGGCCTGGAGGCCGGAGATCGCGGAAACTACGTCGTTTTCCGGGTTCTTGGAGGGGATGTAGGGCGTTTAGGGGTTTCGGGCTTTTGCGGTTTCAGGGTTTCAAGGTTTGGGTTTAGAGTTGTTGTTGGTTCGGGCCGCTTTGGGATTTAGTTTGGGTTTTAGGTTGATGCCGGCTTGAAGAATCATTGTGCGGGCATTGGGGGTTTGAGGGGCTAGTTCTGTTTCTGGTGCAGGGCTCAGGATATGCGGGTAAAAACGGCTAGGCAAAACCCCCGAAGCCTAAGTATCTTAAAACTGCAGAGATTGCATCGGAAAGTAAATTCGGCCAAACTCTGGGAAGTCAGTGTTTTTTCAATTTACCGTCGATGACAGAGGCTTGCTAACTATGGTTGATGATATAAATCCTGCATTACCTTAAGGACCCTAAACTGTGGGAATTATGGTATCTTCCTTAGTTTCCTTAGTATGGGTAATGCAGGATATTTACCATCAACCGTAGTTCAAACCATGTCAACCCTTGTAACGCTAAACTTGCCCTAAACGAGTCATTTGCACCTGGGAGATCCCGGCGCCGCCCTTGCCGGCGCTTTTGACAAGCTGGGGCGCGCGCTGCGCCCGTATGGCACGTATAGCCAAGTGCCCCACTCTCTCAAACGAACGAGTGTGTCGGATTGACGACTTTCGGTTCTGACGTGGCTTTCAAGGGCGTTCAGACGAGGGTGCTGCGCGGCTGCCATCCAGTTATGGTCGCGCGTTTCAGGCTGCCTGGTGCGAGGTTCGGAGCACCTTTGGTCTTTGCGGCTTCATTCATGGGCTTGGCAGGAAGGATGCCAAACCGCTAAATCTGTTAACTCTGTGAGACTGACCCAAACAGTCTCCAACTATACCGTAACTGTAGTCTAACTATAGTGTATAGCTACAACTCTTTAACATAACTATAAATTAACTTCAATACAACTACTGCGCGAATCCATGCAAGCTCCGAGCTGACCGTACTTCGGAAGGTGCCTTGCCGGCCTCCGCGTGCTGCAGCAGGAAGATCGACCCGCCAACCTTCGTCAAAGCCAAAATTTGACGGTTATCATGTTTGTCATGGTGGCGATGGCCACGATCATTCATGCCAATAATGCGAGGATGATAACGATGATCAAGCTTATGGTAGTAACAGTTATGATGATGATGATGATAATGATGAGGAGGAGCCAATGTTAGAAACCATTTGGCTAACCCTGGTCCCGACCACCCATGGCCCGAAGTTGATGAAAGCGAGGAGCAGCTAAACCTACACCTAGCTTCTTGAGGACAGGACCTGGGCCAGCGCAACTTCGTAAACGAAATGCACAAAGGATCCGGAGGAGACGCTCTTCAGCTTCATTTGTTCGCAAAACAACAACGTGCAGGGGCCCCAGCGCGCCTGGCAAAGACAATCTCGAACAGTTTTTGTGGCTCTGATGCCGACGCTACCTCCGTTCATGTGCTTTGGGCTTCGGGAGTTACGACCCTCGGGGCAGCATTGCGATGGCCAGAGCATGAACTGAACTGCAATTTTGTGTTCGGTACACCTCCTTTGGCTTTGGCCTTCCCGTTTCGATTGGAGTCGATGTTAGTTCAATGCCGACTCAGTGGCTTAGTATTGGACTTCATCGTGAATCTATGTCTACCCTCTATGCGTCGCTCCGTTCTTCCTGGAAAGATTAGACATTTCAGACTTGTTCCGACGCGCACGACTCTCTTCTGAGCTTAAAATTCGGGAAGTCACTGAAGCTCCGCATGACTATCGGTCGCAAGGTCGCGCATCTGCTTGCTCACAGATCGCCTGCGAGCCCGATTTGGGGAGGTGCTGCGGATTTGGCTTGGTGCTTATTGTCAAATTGTATCTTGCTAGGTTATAGTATTTTTGATATTTTTTGTATATTGTAGCATATGACTAGCCTGAATCCAGCATGTCTGAGACATCACGGAAGCTCAATCCCAAACCGTCCTCCAAACAACAGCAGGCACCTGGGGATGCAAATCCTCGTGACCGACCTACCACCTTGATCTCAAGCACCGAGTAAGGGGTCAAAACCCGCAACGCGAAGCCTATAGCAGCGATATGGTTGTGTTCAACACAGCTTGGGGCACCAACTATAAAGGCAAACCTGAGCTTCAAGGCTAAACCACCATCGAGGACTGAGAGCCGAAGTTCTCATGCCCATGTCGTTTCTTTCTACTGAAAGGACCATGGGACTTGGTAAGTACAATGATAAGTACCTTAATTGGGGTTATACTCTTATAAATCATAAGTATAGTTGTCTTCATAATGACCCTCATGACAACCCAAAGCACTAAGTCCCATGATCCTTCAATTAAGCCCTCAACTGTAGCAGGCATATAGGGGCAGAACCGAAGAATTTGGAGGTGGTGTGTCGTTTGCAGCCACTTCCCGAAGACTGGAAGGGTGAAGGCCACTGCAGCACGGGTTTAGGGTTCAGGGCTCACGGAGGAGATACTACTAAATACAGCTTAATATAGGGGCTTAAATAATTATCCATACTATTTTCCGGGCTCCTCATTGCGTTATAGTATTGCGATTATAGTATGATAGGCCCCCCAACCCTATTCTAATGATTAAGGCCCGTGTATTTCACAGGTGCACCACTGGCTGCACCACATCATCAGCAATGAATAATTTCGACGGTCCATATTATCACCACCATCCGTCAACATCACTGGAGATGAAAGCAAAAGGCAAACATGCATAGCTGGATAAGCACAAGCAGATAGACTTGTAGCGGCCGTTGGTGCTATGTAGCGGCCGTTGGTGCGAATGTGTCAAGTACGTATGCATGCATGTGTACATGTAGGCATGCATGTCTGCACAGTTCTCGTTTGCATGTATATGCGTGCGTGCGTATGCATGTATGAATGTATGGATGTATGCAAGCCATGTATGTATGTAAGTCCGTATGTAATGTAGCGTGATGAGATGTAATGTGTTGCAATGTAATGTAGTGGAAGGTGTTGTATCGGCACAAACTTGCATCTACGTGTATATACATGCCCATTTGGCTGGCCAGCGCTGCCATACATATTGCACATTCACATACACATACAGTATCATGTACATACATACATACATACGTACATACAGAAATACATACATACAGACAGACATACAGACATAGAGACATACATACAGACAGACAGACAGACATACAGGCATACATACATACGAACAAACAAACAAAGATACATACATACATCCATACATCCATCCATACATACATACATACATACATACATACATACATAGGAACTAGATGAGGGGAGGTCACCGTCACCGTTCCGATTTCGGGTGAGAGAGTGCAGGTTGACCATGACTTGACGTCGGATGCTGCAAGCAAGATTACTACGATTTCGGTCATGGAGTGTCTTGAGTGTACTTCAGGACTTCTTTAAAGGGCTTCACACCGGAGACGAAAACTGCCGGGTTATAGCACCCAGTATCACCTCACAATTGGCAACGGCCTTGTCCCACACTGGCCCTGCCTATCTGTCAACCCTAAATAAAGAAAGCCCCCAGCGTGCAACTCCAAAAGCCCCCAAGAACCCAAACGCGAAGTCCTAAACGAAACCCCATAGACTCATAGGTTACAACCCATGACGGCCCAAGCCATTGCTGCCTGCAGATAACAGACTTTCACACATGCGCGAGCTCCTCTGGCTTTACTAGAACTGGCTTCTGGGGCTCAGGTGTTTTGGGGGGGTCTAAGATGCACTTCGGTTAGGTTGAAAGACAGGTCGAGATTGGGGCAGGTTGCAAAATATTTTCAGGTTGAGTCAAACGTTGGCTTTGCAAACTTAGCTCAAGGGCCCGCATGTTTAGAAGGGCTTTGGGCTTTCGGAGGTGTTGTTCTGCGACAACTTCAACCTTAAAACCCTGAACCCTGAAGGGTTTAGAGTTTGAGTTTGTGCGAGGGTTCAAAGGAGTTTAGTCATTTATTCGAGAACTCTCAAGGCTTTGAAGGATTTGGCGCCTGGGCGTCTCCAAGTCTATAGGTTGATTAATATAGGGGCCTTAATAAATTAATAATTCTAAAAGGGTTTTGGGGGTTCCTTATTATAATTGCGCTAGATAGAATAGACCCCGAAACCCTATTCTAATTATTAAGGTTCCTACAGTAGGCTTTGTGGGTTTTGGGGTGCGTAGTGCGCCTTAAGACTCTTGTTGACGAGCTCTGGGACCAAAGAAGGCACTGCGTCGCCCAAAGTCGTCCCAAGCTCTACTGTCAAGAAGGGAGACATTGTCTGTCATTCTCGCCTAGCGCATGTATATATATATATATACATGCATACATGTATCCCTCCCACCCTGAACCCAGGCCCTTCAGACCATTTTGGGTTCTTTTTACTTCATCTTCAGTCATGGAGCTCCGAAGCCTCCGACATCGAAGTGCCGAGCAGTCAGCCTACGAATCCGGAGCCCAAATCTGAGTCCTGGCGCCCCAAACATGGGACCCCGAAGCCGACACACTAATGTATCCTAAATAATAGTATTTTGGGGGGGATCCTTATTATATTTATGTTAAAATAATGTAGGAGCCTAAATAATTACCTGTAGTATGTTTGGGTGGCTCCTTATTATAATTATGGTAAAATATACCCCCAAACCCTGTTCGAATTATTATTATTATGGTAGAACATACCCCAAAACCCTATTCTAATTATTAAGGCCCCTACACTACAGACTCTAAATGCTTGACCGCCACACGGCCTGACTTTAAAAGCCCTAGCTAATCCCAGCAAAGTAGGTCGAACGAATAATTGCCCAGCACCCATAAAAGACTAGTCTTCTACATTCTCTGGGTCAGGTACAGCCGAAGACTCTGAAATTGTAAAGCCTTACAGCTTCTGAGGTTCGGGGTGCGAAGATCACTCCATGCCTGGCCACGATGCGCTGTCTTGGCCAAAGCGACGGACCCTTGAGGGTGTAGGGGTAACGTTTGCAGCTTGGCGTTGGGGAGTTGCGGACATGTGGTTTAGGGTCAGGGTTCGGAAGACGCCCGTAGTGCGAGTTGGTGGTAGAGTCGGGCTTCAGGGTTTAAAGTTTAGGGCGTGAGTTCAGGGATAGGGTTTGGCTCCCGGCTCTTCTTTCAGACTTTCACGTTTAGGCGATTTCAGGATTAGGTTCATTAGGGGGCCGTTAAAAGCCCGGGGGGAGGGATGTTGGAGCCATCTAAACCCTAAGCCCTAAACCGTCTTGGATAGTTGCAGTTGGCTTGGCTTTAGCTTCAGATGCGAGTATTTTGTCTGGCATTCTCGTTCCATGACAGGTGTTCGGCCCCGACTTCCCGACATCTCGAATCTCCATGATTTGACGCGAAACCGCCTGAATCTCAATCGCCGAACACCTTTTAGGGTTTAGGTTTTAGGGTGTATATGACAGTTTTGGGCTTTAGGGCAACTCCCCAAAAATGGAATACTTGGGTTGCAGGGCTCCTTATCAGAAGTATAGTATAATATGCCTCAAAGCCCTGTTCCAATTATTAGGGCCCGTAAACCCTAATCCCATTTACTAGCCCTTAAAGGAACCCTTCAAGCACCCCCAAAACCCTGTTCTAATTTTTAAAACCCCTAAACCCTAATCCCCTAAACCCCCAATCCCCTAAACCCCTAAACCCTAAACCCCTAAACCCTAAACCCCTAAACCCCTAAACCAAACACAGGATTTATAGCATCGACCGTAGTTGCAGGACACGGTGCCGAAAGGCCTTTTGCCATGGCGCAGG